GGGGAGGGGGTGAGCAAAATTTGCCACATTGCCAAAAATAATGTGCAGACAACAGTTCTTACATCGGCCTTGGCAGATTTGCGTAATTTTCAATTCTCACGTGGTCTTTAATTCCGTAATTCGAATGATATAACTAGCGCATAGATTTATTTTGGTTTTCCATTATTACTTGCTTTCAAGATGAAAAATAGGAAAAAAAACAGCAAAACCACTTATCAGTGGGTCTTTTTTGCCATAATTGCACTTTCAATGCAGATAGTGAATAGCCATATGTCTAAATTCAAGGACTCAGCTATTGCCAAAGGTAGTTAAGAGTATTTGATGAGGATAATTGCAAAACATACTACAAGAGCACAAGAAACGCTAAGGTAGTTTAAGACTCTTAGAGCGCACTATATTTTTAGTACGGCCAGTCAAAAAAAACATTAGCTTCTCCACATTATTTTTCGAAAGATATCATGATAAATCCGTATTATAGTCTTTTGATCATAATAGTTGCCATTTTAATGCTAAGAAAGTCGGTCGGACTTGGAAGTTGTATTATAATATTTGAATGCATTTTTGCAAATTTGGAACAGTCTAATAGTTCTAATGGTATATTAGTAAGAAGTATCATGACAATGGGTATAAAAGACACTTTAAAATGGCTTGTCACCTACGAAGTGTGACAAATCATTTTAAATTTGACAAACTTGCAGCCATAAGGAAAAAAGCGCAACTGCTAGCGATCTATCCTCGATTTTATAAATGAGATGTTTTCAGATTCGAATCAATCAAAAAACTAGGCAAAAAGCGCAATAATCATGATGCAGAGATAGGCTTTGGTTTCGAAAGATGTCCTCATGATAAAACAGATTATAATGCATTTTTGGTAATTTTATGAGGAAGCTTCATAATCGAAATTCTTCTCATGGCAGTTTTCCAAACAAATTCGTTTGGCAAGATGAATTTTTGATCGTAACAATATAAGTACATAAATGATCGAGGAATGAATGACTGGATTTATATGTCGCACTGAATTAAGGATACTAAAAGGACAATCGTAGCCGCATTTAATCAAACAATATTCAGCTGAAGAAATGAGGCGGCTATTGATACTGGTTTGATGGTCACACATTTCAGTTCCATAGCCTTTGCATTACAACAAATACTTAACACGCATTTTTGAATTACAGAAGTGAAAAAGGAAGAAAATGAAAGAAAACGATTACGAAAATGGAACTTACAACTTCCACACAGTGAAAGAATCGAGAAATAACTCCAGGT